CCTAGCCCTACGGTAGTTTTGTAAGAGGGATTCAACCACGACCCTACGGACTGCCGAAAAATCCACAAGGCAGATGTGCCGATAAAACCAATGGGCCCGCCACCACTTCAGCTAGTCAGGTTTTCAACTGGTAAACTAAAAACACTCACGGCCCGACTCGCACTTTGAAAACATCCGGGGAATTTGACTATTCTTTATCAAAGGCCTTCACTTTGACAGCCAACCTACCAGTCACAACATTGGTAGTCCTACTTTCTGGAACGTGAGAAACATGACGGTTCTTTTCCTCCTTCTCAGGCATCTTCTTTGTGCACTCCATGCTAGAACGAATAATCACCCAAAAGTTACGAACTAATTTTTTTTTATATGAACCGACTCAAGAGACACTGCTCTAAGATGGATGTTTCCCTAAGAAAAAGAGCATTCATCGTCAGTGCGGGATAGGATAGTTTTGAACATTTTCCCCACTCGTACAGCACAGTGCTTTGTCTGTCTCTTTTGTTTATCATTGGAACACACGCATGGCCTGATTTAGATTCTGTCTTCCAACACTCCAGTCATTCAACACTGTACTGAATGAAATGCGTGCAGACAAGGAGACTAAGGCTGACCTTCATTGCCGAGCGGATGATTTGCGTGATCAGCTCTACGAAATCCTGGATGAGTCTAAACTGGCCAACGAAGCTCGAATACCAGTTTGTCTCAATCCTTCATCGTGGTTGACAAATAAACTATATTTGCTGACGAACTACTATGTGGCCCTGATGCAGGTGGAATTGGCTCGCTTCGAAGAACGTGCCAGTCTTATGCGGGACTATTACAGGTAGTGCAGCTTGATTGTGCGCAACATTTATCGTTAATTTGCTGGGTTCTTTTTCATCTGTATGTCATCAACAAAAGGTTATTCGTCTGGATTACATATTCCGTCCAATTGCCAGATATCGTCAGCGTGTCGAATGTATCCGAACTACAAATATTCCATACAAACCACTCATCAAGGTTGGAGAACTGGTAGGCAGCCTAGTTGCTGGACAGATTGGGTATTTCATTAGTGATACTTTTGATTCCCCCCAATAGTTCGAAGATTGGAAATTTGAAAGCACTTTGAATGATAATTTTTTGAACTTTTCAAAACAACTACATGGTTGTATCCCCATTAATTTGGAGTTAGAAGAAACCGAAAATGAGCTTCTAAGAGTTCAGAAAAACCTAAGGCAAAGAGCGCTGACATTCAGAATAATATTCTTTGTTTCCAAAAGATGTGATCGAGTTGATAGATCTGGGAATTTCGCCGTAAGACCGAACATTATTCTTTCATAAAGCAAATTGTCACTATGTGTTAGCCAGTCATTTAAAACCATTTGAAACATTTCGTTTTGCATCTGCTCACTTCAAGGCTTGTCGATGTAATAACCATTTTGTGGGATTGGTGAAGACTCAGTGACACTCCACAGCAAGTAAGCATGGCCTCGAACTCTCATCCCATTTAATTTCATAAGTAAACAGCAAGAAAGAAAGAAAGCGTTCAGCTGTAGCCCCTTCCGGTCGTTCAGCTGTAGCACCCTTCCGGTGCCTAGCTGCCATGCCTTCCGAAGGAAGCACGAGGGCTGGGATACTGCCAGGTTGTCCAAGCCTAGACAGGGGAAGTCGAGTGGCGGAGGTCGGACCCGAACCACGGACCTTCCGGTCAGTAAATTCGCGCTCTAACCACTTGCGCCGTCTCGCCAACAACAAGGTTGGCATATGAATAGTTGAGTATCACCTCATTTCAGTCTGAAATGACCACACTTGGTTAGCACACAAATATGGTGCCGTTCATTTATGGGCTCGACTAGCAAGCAAGTGGTTCAATGCTGCGTTATGACCATTTTTGGACAACCGCTGCCGCCAACTTTGTTGAGCGAATTATTTTATATACACCTCTCATCCACTTCTACCTGCAGTCCGGTTTTGTCTTAAACTGACCAATGAAACGACGCCCATGTCTTTGTCTGTCCATATCCGGCAAGGGAGTGTGAAAAAAGTTTGCAACTTTCACTACTCTACTACTACCCTCAAGAGCGTGTGCCCCCATGAACAGTTCAATGAGTGTACGTTCTTGGGGACGAAGTACTGTATGCCATAAACGGTGGAAAAACTCAAGACTAAATGTGTTACGGTGAAATAATTAATATTAGGCCGAATGGGACGAAAGCCAAGGATGAAAGTAATCTTTTCACTTTATCAAGACCGTTTTGTGAAGTAGCTAACGTGTGAATACAACCAGCCTTCTAGTCAGTATAATAGTCCGCTCTCCCTCGTGCCATAAAGTTGTAAAGACATATTTCGAAACTGCATGTGGATTCCTCTCACTTCACTTTCAGAATGATGGAGAAACAAACAAGGATATCAGAACAGACAGAGTTAGAAAAGATCCAGAACTGTGTTGATCCACGCGCCGCAGAATATACTCGGCTACCACTGCTTCAGGTAAACTTGAGGGTGACTGGTGTTTGTTACCTCCAAAACTCTGTGAAAACGTGTGCCTTTATGTTGCATCCATGCTAGGCTATTCCAGAATCGAAATTTGAACTGGTATTTAAATATTTGGGCTAAACATTATCACTTCAACTGCTTGAGCCATCTGTCTTAACTCAGCCGGACTCAAGTTATTCATAATGATCAGGTAATGATGATCGATCATAACAAGCGTTAACAATAAAAATAAGCGCCTTGACTCCAAGTTGGAAGTTCTTTTTGAACTGAGAACCGATTTCCTTTATTCGATTTGTTTTGCCCTTTGAGGAAAACAAATCAAACTAGAGTACTGTCTACCAAAACTGATCTTAAATGACCCTTGAACAAGATTGGTTTGTTTGCCCAAATCGCCCAACTGTGCTTAAAAGCGTAGACTCTAACAAACTTGTTGCGCATGTGACAATATACACAAGATAAACTCACTCCAAGACCTGCAAACTGAGAAGTTTTACTGCCGTAAGAACTCGTTCGTTGTCCCTTGAATTGCAGTGATAAATGAGCCATATTGTTGACAATTCTTGTTGTTCCATTGGAGTTACTGTGGAAAAGACTTATAGAAACATATTAGATTGCTCTTGCACGTTCGCTGGATGCTAGCGCTGAGTGAACAACTAGATACTAAAACCTGTTTCGCTTTGAAGTTCCCTGTTCACCAACATGACTCGCGTTAGCTGAGAAGCTAGCATTGAGCTCAATTTAACGGGTAACCTATGGCGAGGTGATATCAGCGTACAGTGATCCATCTGCGCCCAAATGGGATGTCTGTCCCCCACTAATAGTGAGGAGTATGGTGCGGGGTCAATTGCCTTTTTATAATGCCGTTTGCAAGATTCACCGCTCTTGATCTCAAATTGAACAGCCAGTCAGGCAAACTATATAAACCCGAGCATAAAGAGAGGAATTACCCATTCAGTAGCGAGCCACTGATGCCTCCTCGGAGAGTAACGGAACGTTGGTAAGTCGATTGCCATGCTCAGCGAACACATCAACCAACACTTGATCAATTACCAACTGTTTTTAAATGTCTTACATTCATGGATCTGTGGGAAGATCTGGCGATTTTTATCCGTCCTCTGCTGGAAAGCCATGCTCAGCGAACACATCAACCAACACCTGATCAATTACCAACTGTTTTTAAATGACTTACATTCGTGGAAGTGTGGGAAGATTTGGCGATTTTCATCCGTCGTTTGCTGGAAAGCGGAGAAGCACTGTACAACTGCCTCATCCCTATTGTGAATCATCAGTACTGTACATCTCACGGAAGTCCAGAGAATTCTGACTTCCGATCAGCGCTTGAGCACTTGGCTGTCCGGCCGCAATCGGGTGGAGATCAATGTGATTAACTCTCACCTAGACAGCCTGTAGCATCGCTCAGTCATAGAAACCCGATCACTTGATCATAGGTATTGACTGCCTCTTCGAGTGACCACTCCTCAGACTCTCAAACTATCCTAGTTTTTTTCATAAAGGAAACTACTCACAAGGCTGCTGAAAACTCTTCGACATCCTACGACCGGTTTCGCCCTTCCAGTTCGGGCTCATCAGGTAGGCGTAGTCCCCGAGTTTCCGTCAACCTTATGATCTACTTGAACCCAAATTGGACTGTTTTCGAGAAATACACTAATTTGCAAATCAATTTGGTCTTCACGGGAGACTCAGTTGTTGTTCTGAGCTGCTTATAAACTGTTGTTAGTGTGACACTTCCCAATAAGAATGAAACAACGACCCCTCTCCGCTTTTCAGCAAAGCTTGACTGCATCTACAGGATGTAATCACAACTTAAAACTTTTCCCTTTATCCACTAACAAGGAACTGTTCGTGAATATTATAAGCAGTGGATGACAAGTTGCAGGTCAGGTCGGTCCAGTTGTTTGTCCAGATCCACAACAGTACATACAAGCTAGAATGGTGTAACTGTAACCCCAACCGATAACACTTCAGTAAGTTACTCGCGTTGCTAACGTCACGTTGCCTGTGCAAGTTAAACAGTCCTGATCAGCATTGGGTAGAGAGAGGGTCGTCAGATGGAGCTGCAAGTTCTCCTTCGGAATTCATTCAGTTCACCCTTTAGTAATGCGCACTGATGACGCAACGCGGTAGCTTGATTCTGTCGTGTGTGACTGACAACATTATGGTTTATAAACTACTTTCTCGCCCACAAATTTTGAAGTGAACCCGGAAAATCAACCGAGTGATGTCAAAGACGTTAAGCTTGGCAAGCACAGGTCTAGCAGGGTTGTCAAGCCACGTTTACCCAGGAAACAGTGCAGTTTCAGAGCGTTTTTACACATTCGACGATTGCAATTAATACTGTATTCTAAGCCCTATGAGAAGTAGGCAAACAGCTGTTGTCTGCGATCCCCAAAAGGTTGTAATTCACAGACCCTTCAGATGTGCATTAAATTATTAGTGCACTGCTGATGATTGCCATAGCACAAATCAGAAGGTATATGCACTAATAAAGGTTTTTAGCATAGCTGACAATGGTGAGATGCCACATGTATAAAAATGAATACAATGCAAAATGGGAGCGGTCAAAAGAGGAAATTATCGTCTGTGAAAATTCCTTGGTGAAAGTTCGGACGGCGCGAACGTGCTTTCTCCGCAGTTTGGCTGCAACAGGTATTCCACAGTTGTCCGTGGATTTACGGAGAGTGGTTTACTTCCCACTCCCTGCGCGCACGCGATGCGTGTGCTGGGCTGAGTTGTAGGCCTATTTATTGTATGTAGTGTGAAGAGAGGGGTGTCTCTTCGTGTTTGATGCTTGCGCGAACATGAATACAACTTGACCTGATGTGGTTGAATTTCGTAAGCCTGGCGTGTGACGCAAGTGGTAGCCGCGTGAACAGAAATGGATGGGAAGTTGCAGTGTACATGCTGTCGGTTGATGTTGCAAGTGGGACAGGAATTGTCACGTGGTTTGAGCGTTTGTGAGGCGTGATCTGATGAGTGACCTCTACAACTACTCTCCCTTAGCGAAGGACAGAAGTAGGTGCTGATGAAATGGTAGGTGATGCTCGTGGTTGTGGAGTAAACAAGATAATAGACAGTCTATGTGAATGTACCCATGAAATTGTTTGCAGGGGTAAGTGGAGAGGAGGGTAGCCGCTACAAACTTCTGTCAGCCTTTGCTAAATTAAGCGAGCTTTCTAAATCAGATGTGGCATGCAGTCTAAGTGAACAAAAATACAGCAAATTAAGTCACGGCATAGATTGCAACAAATGTTAGTTAAACACCCCAAAACCCGACATCAATCAGCCGCTTGGAGTTTTCAGTTCCAACGCAGGTATATTTAATCAAAGATTTCAAGCTTTTGTTTCGACGGAACCATTAATTATTGCCCCTGTCAACCCGTACTTCTAGTTGATAGAAGACCCACTCGATGTTGAAGAGGCTGACTCCGCCAAGAGCAAAGCCAGCACACCAAGTCTATCCACTGGCCGAAAGAAAATCACCACAAGTAGTCATTCAAAGTCTCGTGAATCATCCAGTGGCAACCGACCCACTCTCATTACCCTATCGGATTATTCAAGTAGTCTGGATTCGGTAATTTCATGTTTACCACCGGAATTTGCAACGCGCACAATCCTACTAAACTTGAAATCAAATCTTGCCGAGATTTATTCAGCTCTAACCAAAAGTGAGTTGATTCGGACGGCGGCTCATCTAAAAGTCTTCACGTGTAGTTCTCTCTCTCATCAGTTGAGTTTGTTTTTCCCCTTTTCAAGAGTAACAATCACTTTCTTTGGGTCATCTACCCTTTTCACGCAGACGGTCCGACATTTGCCGGAGCAACCACGTCAGGCGGTCTGCAAGAACCCAACGCAAACATTCAAGAGCCAAGAAACTCAGCCAGGGTTGAAGGGAGGACAACGAGAGCTGACAGAAAGACGTCTAGGTCAAGTGCTAAGGCATCTCTCCCGAATGCAAATGAACTGTTCATAGACAATGTCGAGGCACCGAAAGAATCAGAGACGCTATTTTTATACAACGTCTGCTTATGCGCGTTACAGACCATTCAAAACCAGGTAATGTTTACAGCAAGTACAGTTTTGTATATCCGTCTCATGCTGCCACAAGTGCTATGCATAGTGTTTTTGCACAATCCCCATCCCCGCCACACCAAGAACATCCATGCAAATGACTACGGTGATGTAATAGAATACAATGCTATTCACCGTCTGAGGAAGGAACGTACGCAAAGTGATCAAGAGTTGCATTCCGTTTATTGCAGCTTTGGAATCAGACTGATTGGTCATGTACCTCTTCAAAGGGTTGACGTTGTGTGTACCGCTTACACACTATCCTGCAACTTTGTTTAGTGGCTTTTAAGTGAACCTGGTTCATCCTGGTTGGTAATTTATCCGAAAATGTGCTTGCCAGACTGATTGGTCATGTACCTCTTCAAAGCGTTGACGTCGTGTGTACCGCTCACACACTATCCTGCAACTTTGTTTAGTGGTTTTTAAGTGAACCTGGTTCATCCTGGCTGGCAATTTATCCGACAATGTGCTTGTAGAACCATTTGTCGAAACACCTCTCAGTTTCAATAGGCGTCGGAGACAATGAGGTCATAAATAGCTTGAAGCAATGTATGAAGAAATAATCGTGCAGCTGTAACACCCTTTGGTGCTAAGTTGCCATGCCACCCGAAGAAAGTACGAGGGCTGAGATACTGCCAGATTGCCCAAGCCTAGACAGGGAAAGTCGGCAGACAGAAGTCGGGTTCGAACCACAGACCTTCCGGTCAGTAAATCGGCTCTCTAACCAAGTAGCTTATAATTCTAGGACATCATACTACCTTCTGGTTGATATTTTCAACCCTAGCTGGAAGGCTGGAGAAATACAACAGATTATTATTTCTGGCTAGTGGGCTGAATTATTTCTCTACGGTTGAATGCTGATAGACTTAACCCTGGGGCGCTAAGATGAGCAGCCCTATGTGGTTTTCACTCACCTTCTGCCTAACTACCAGGTGGTAAGATGGTATTTCGTTAAAAATGCTGCTCTACGTCACATGGCTTTGACTAAACCAGATGAAGACGTTCGGAATCGTTTTGAGCCTTGCAGAACAAATTTGGGGAACAAACTTTTCTACGGATAGGTAAGTTGGACACCTTCAGAATTTCGCGTTAAAAGGACAGACAGATCTAAATCAGTGGCCTTCGTATAATTACACAAACACAGATTTATTTTAGGTTAGTGTGAATAGAAACTGTTTTTGCCCGACATTTTCACAGGGCATATAAGGGTCGTGATCCAGTGCCCGAACCTACCACTTATGTACACGCACGGATTGTGCGCCAGTTAAAGAATTGCAACTGTCCAATGGGAAGCAAAAGATTATCAACAAATCACTGCCCTCATTCCATTTCTAAGATTAGATTTGATCAATAAAAATGTAGATCAATCGGTTCATTGCATTCTACCCTACTCCAGATTTTGCTGGTCCTAACCGTGGTGCAAACCAGATCAACATTATGACCACTTGACTAGTACACCGCCTGACAGCTTCGGCATGACGTTCTCTGACTCCAGTGCGCCATAGATCCCATTTTATGACTTGGTCTATTTGCCCCACACATGCGACTTGGTTGTCTGACGCATCAGGGGTTTGGATAACATTTTGAGACGGAGCTTCAAACTCCAGCCGGTTCCTGCTAGGTTTCTTGTGGGTTTTTGTGAGAAGGTTATGCGGATACAAGATCTAAAGAGGCGCATGCTTGGTCATTTAGAAGATGTTGTTAGCTCGAACTGAATGGACTGCGAACAAGAGGCGAATTGGATTCACAGTTAAGACATGCTTTTCTGATAGATAGTATTTCCTCTACTTCCTATCTACGAACCAGACTTTAGCTAGTTTTAGTTTTTTGGTAGTGTAAGGAGATTTGGGTGTTTTTAACGGTGGTTTCGCTTGGTAAGTGAGCAGCAACTAAGTTATGTTAAAAAGCCCGGAAGATCTTCGTAGCTGTTTCATCCTTATTTGGGATTGTCAGTAGTGATCATTTCACGAAACCGCAAGGAGTCTCGAATCCGCCACTTCTCGGCTGGTAGTATGAACAGTTAAACACTCGGCCACTAGCGGCTGATTAACGGTCTGGTTTGCTCTCATTTAGGCAGAATATAAAGATGAAAAAGCTGTACAGTGGTTCTCGGCTTTTTAGCATAATTTGCCTTCACTTACAGGACGAAATCTCCGCGTAATAAGAAGCTCGGAAAAATGGTTATCGATGTTGTCCACGTTTCCAGATTTATTTAATTTCGAGGGTATACCTCTTGAGGTGGCTCATTACTTTTAACTCGATGGACTGTCAAGCTCTGTGAAATTAGGAGCAGTTTGATTCCACCATCTTGTTACTTGTTGTAATAGCCCAGGTGATGGACATCCGCGTCACCGTGTTAAGTTGCTATTAGGACGAGACTCAGTTGAATCCTAACGTGATTTCCTGCTATTGGGTTACAAACTTTTTTCGGCATTCTGGTGAATAGTGTAGTCCGTAGAGAAGATACAACTACTGTTTGCATTCCAAGGACTTGCGAAATTTGTGAGTTTCCGGCCAATCTTCCAATTGGAGGTAGCTCTGCTGCCTAGTTAACAGTGCGGAAATTGTAAAATAGTTGTAAATTTAAGCCATTGAGAAATTGTTAGTCCCGTGAATGAACATCTGTCCATATGTTGCTTACACTTTCAGTTGATTCGGACTAATTCGAAGCCTGTCTTAAGCGAGTTTCATCTTCCAATGTTTTTTTGTGCACCTAATGCGGGTCTAACAAATACTATAGTTTTAATAAGTCTCCGTTACTACTAATAACGACAAAATGCTGAGTTGCAGTGGGACGGGTCCCACCCACTGGCCTTCTTCTAGCCCACGTTGACGGCCGATGAGTGGTGTGCACATTCAAAATGGACCGATGGTTTTACATGCTGCTTGGTGTTTGGCCCGTTCACCGAGCTTGGCAGTTGGATTGCAAACGTTTCATTACCAACCGAGGTGACATCGTCAGTGTAGGACTGAGTGGCTGAACTACCAGCTACTGTTTAGATGTTATATAATCACAAGCAGAAGAGATGGAATTCACCCACTCAACCATGCACTGACGATGTCACCTCGATTGGTGATGAAACGTTTGCAATCCAACTGCCAAGCTCGGCGAACAGACCAATAACCAAGCTGCGCACCCGAGCTACCTACATTCCACAACACTGGTTTTACGTGCTGCATAGATAGTATGGATTGACTGAACGTAACCAGCTTGGTCCGTAAGTATGACTTATTTTTTGCTCAGACACAGAAGAGCCGAACCCATCACACCTTTACTGAGCATAGTGTCAGTATGAGGTGATTTGAAGACTCAAGTTAAATCAGGTAACTTGTGACGCTCCATAAACGTACAAGTTTACAGAGGCACATCAGCAACTCCATGTCGTTAACCTAATGGTCAGAAAACTGCACCACCGCCACTCCAATGGACGCTTAACCAAGCTGGAAAGACAAGCAAAAAACGACTGATCGAAAAAGCTAACTTATTGGTTTCCTAACAATGCCTTTGGTTCACTCAGGCAACCATAAAGAAATTGGAAAAGAAATCTATGTGGACCAGTTTCCAGGGTAATGGCAGTTGTCATTCAATTTCCTGGTCCGTGACATCTGAACGATTCCCCTCCAAGTCTGGAGTACACAAAAGGGACAAAAAGCAGACGAGCAACTACATGTGTTGCGACACGGTATCTTATGTAAACGTGTCGCAAATGACCCTCCGAACAAAGTTTCCAAGACTTCTAAAAATTAGATAACTTCTCAATATCATCCCGAAATTCTCAGAAACTTTCAACAAACAGTAAGCTTCTTACTCATGATGCCCAAGAGAATTAGCCACAACCAAATGACTATCTATTTGTCAATATTGTGAGAACCGATAGATTTCGAGTCTGCTGTTTTGATTCTACGACACCAAGTTCTACTCACGGTGTTTTTACTGCATACCGAAATCAGCCTCTTTTTAAAGTCAATGTTCCCCTAATTCCTCTTTATTTGGAAGTATCAGCTTTGCGCAGCGTGGTTCGCCAAAGTTTCGAGCGAAATATTTTTTACATGGGCTGTTAGAGTTACTGTTGAATGATCAGTAGTATGATAAATTTGAATATTGTGTCATTCTTACCCAGTAACCTTTATCTTGGGGATAAGCCATCCGATTGGCTTCTTAAGTGGAAGCCTTCACGCTTCCAAATACTATTTAATTCCACCCACGAGAAGTCTGCTGCTGCTGCATTTTTGTCATATCCAAACGTCCTGTTTTTATTTACGAGATTTCGGAGGAGCAACTGAAGGTGCCCTAAAGTGAACTTTGGTTGTCCAACTGGTTTGCGCAGCTTGTATCACTGCTACCATATGTTGATATTTCATTCTCATGTGTTAGGATTTCAGGATCCATGTTGTGATACAAGCAAACAGACGTTTAATTCTTTCACTCCTTCTGTGAACATGGAACTTCATACTACATAGCAGCTATATATACTTCAAACCCAAGCGCTTTGCTGATTTTGCTTTTTTCCCGCTCTTGTTTGGTGGCACTTAGACCATTCTTCAGCGCCGTTGCTAGGTTGCGAAGTAAACTGTTCTGTGAAATTCACTTATTTACAGACCAATTTGGTTTTGCGGGAGACTTGTCTGCAAAAGACAATCTGTTTGCAAATTTCGTGCAGCTTGAATTCAAGTAGAACATAAGGTTGACAGAAACTCGGAGACTGTGCCCGCCTGTTGAGGCTCGAGAAGGGCAAACCCAAGCTTTCGAAAAGTATTCATCAAGCTTATGAGTAGTGCATTACTTCCATAGATTGTTCTCTCAATTTCCTGCCACTGAAAAAGAATTCGGTTATTGCAAAGGTGCTGTTGGGGGCAGGGAAGACGTTTTTGGTCACTTTATACCTGATCACTGTAATACGCGTGGCCTCCATTTACCTGTTTTCACGTGATGTTTCTGGAGGAACAAATCCAAACCGGCTGAATTTGTTAAACTTGAGTAAACAGTTTATTATACACAGATGTCGTGTGCCCATCGCTCAAAAACTAGTGATGCTACCGGATTCAAAGGGCTTACGGTCTGTTCTCAGATGAGCGGATAGGTACTAAGCCTACCGTTAAATCTTGTTTGCGACGCTTTGACCGGAAACTCTGTAGGGACCAAAATTTGGTTCTTCTGGTTTATTTTGTCTTTTAGTATCACGCTGAGAAGAAACGTCTGCAATGGGTGGACGAGACACAAAAACACCCAACACAAGTTGTGGACACTAAGCGAAGCCGTTTGTCTGGCAGCAAAAGGTCACCGGCATCACGGATGAAAAAGCAGGCTGAGCCTAAGCCACCTACACCAGTTTGTGAGTACTATTTAATGTAGAAGGTTTAAACACTTAATTTGTGGTGGCTTGTCTGCCTATGGTAAGGAAATACTTGAGTACCAAACTATGGGCTTTCCCGTCTTTCAAATTTCACCAAATTGGCTGAGTTACAGATCGGTGTTTTGCGCGTGTCTTTTCATTCTGTTGTGGACCACAGTCCCTTAATGCCTTCTTATTACCGTGAACCCCGATCTGGATAGCCGCTTGATCACCTGGTGCGCTTGGCCAAACCAGGAATGTCAATGAATGTGAGAGCCAGCTGCTCTATTGATCATTTTCGCGTACAAGCGGTCAAAATTGATGCTAAGACTGCTACTCAACTCTCAAGGACGAGTGAAAAACAACCGGTACAAGCGGTCAAAAGTGATGCTAAGAATGCTACTCATCTCTCAAGGACGAGTGAAAAACAACCAATCAAATCTGTCTCAACGAAAACCGATTATTCCATTGGCAGTTATGTAGACCCATTACGTTTGGTGCTGGTTCTCCTAATACATTCAGTTAGTGCCAGTTGGTTCAGCAATACCCTTTAAGGATCCTGTAAACAGAGTATATTGGGGTCCCTGCTTGGAGAACTGCCATATTTTTAGTTCATTGACCTAACATTTTGCAAGCAGGCAAGGAGTAGGTCATGCGAGTGCAGTATGTGAATGCAGGTAGTTGAATTCAGTGGGAAGTGGAGACTTCAGTTACTTAGCTCACTCACAAAAATAAAACTTAAAGGCCTGAGGATTTTACCAGCTGACCGTTCGCTGAGTTTTAAAATTAGAGAACTGCTTCTCCCAAACATTGGGCAATGTTTCAAAGTTGTCTACGCCGTGAATGGTTTCGGGCCGGAGAAGAAACAAGTCGACAGTTTTGTTTTACATCTGGTTGCCACCTTACAGAGAATCAAGGTGCGGAACTGTGAGTTCTCCATCTTTTGATTGGGGTTCATTTCAGCTAGTCCCAACATATCCCACGTACCCCACCAAGTAACACATTCTTCCCGCCCTACCATAAGGAAAAAAGGCTGACGAATTTAGATCTGGAACTGACCGAGCGCTTACTGAACATATTTCCAAAAAGGGTACCTGCTTGTAAAGGACAAATCAGGTCACAGTTTTTACTACTTTTATATCAAGAATCAGAATCTGTCACTTGCTTACTACGGCAAAAAATATCCATACACATAAACGCCGTAGAAAACACGGATGTAAACTAAGCTGGGTGAAATTCTCAGGATCTTCATGCTTGTCGTGGTAACTATTGATTCCACGTGCCTTTCAGAAGTGGTAGTCATACGTGAGACCAAATCGATTATTTGATTCTTAGTTTTAGTTTTAGCGATATATGGAGGCCTGATTGAGCAGCATTCTTGGTGGTCCGGTTAATTTTATTTCCTATAGAACACATTACCCCCAGCATAGAGATTGAACGCTTTTAGGTTCCCGCTTTTGATTAGTAAGGTTTGTAATGGTATTCACGTCTCTTTCAGGAAGAACAAGAGTTGTTAAGTGCTGTCTCGTGATATCGTTGTTTCTTAGTATGCAAACACTCAAGTATTTGAACTTCCAGTCAAGGTTTCACACTTGAAGTAGCGTAAGTTCTATGCCGAAAAACTGAGAATTTTCTCTCTCGTGGGGTATCATCGGTATTACACAAAGTAGTCGTTCAGCTGAAGCACCCTTTCGGTGCCAGCTGCCATGCCACCCGAAGGTTGCACGAGGGGTGGGATACTGCCAGGTTGCCCAAGCTCAGACAAGGGAAGTCGAGAGGCAGAGGTCGGGTTCGAACCACGGACCTTCCGGTCAGTAGGTTCGCGCTCTAACCACTTGGGCCATCTCGCCCGAGAGCAGCAGTGTGATTAACTTGCACTGATACAAGATTTGCCGCCACCATTCTCTAACCATGCATGTTAAGATGGACAGTCCAAAATTGACTGGTTCTTCTAATAAAGTCTTCTCAGACGGAAGGCTCGCGAGAATCCTGCGATGGTTTCCTTCTAGCAGATTAATTGTGGTTTGTTTTCACTTTGAAAGCACACTTGTGTGGCTCAGAATTAGTCTACTGCATCCCTAGCGCTGAAACCTAAGGTAATCTGGTGCAAGAACTCTACGTCTTGGCCCCTCTTTGGAAGCGGGTCTATGACTTTATTTCAACTTGTACAAAGTGCTCTTTTCCATCTGAAAAAAGCGGACTTATTCTGAAATGGCTTCTCCAAAACAATCGCACTCATTGGAGGCTGTCACAATGACAGAAAATCCTGATGCAGAAGAAACAAAAACGCTGCTCTCAAGAAAAGGTTCTCTAAAGCACGCAAGCTGGTACTGTTCATCAAAATTCTTTTTGATCTTTTGGTTTTTCTTCTCCTCTCAATGGTTGTCAACGAATATGGCCGGCTGAGGCAAATCTTATCGTATTTATTAATCGATTAGCGTAGAATGAAAGAGGGTTGTGTAAGAAATGATAAAACATATGTATGTGAGAATTTAAGAAGACGAAATGTTTAAGTCCCGAGAAACAAAAGCTATCAGCCACTTTTCCTTCATGTGAGCACCCAAATAATCAGTCCGAAGCACTTCACAAACTCTCAGATACCTGGTGGGTGTCATCCGGTTTAGGCAGGTCAGTTGATGAATCAGCAGGTTGAACAGCTATTTGTGTACTCATTATCATTTAACAGACGAGAATGCAGCCCTGAAGTGCGCTTGGGTAACTCCCTTTCCTAATTTGTCTTTACTGAGGATTCAACTGTCTGGAGTGTCTCCATGCCGAGAATTTCCAGTAAGATACCTCCAACCGGTGATGAATAGACAGCAGTTGTGCACCATCGGTCTCCGTAGGACGATAACAGTTTTGTTCCATATACATTCAAAAACTTTGGCAAACATCCACACCCTGTCTATAGCTAACACGTTATCAACTCATGCAAATCTTTTTCAAAGCCAAGATCGCTGAGGAGGACCATTCCGCAGTGGAAGTACGCCATCGAATCCAGCAAGAACATCTGGCTGCATTGGAAAAGCTAGGTAGGTTGTCTTTCGTATACAATAGGAAATGGTTCGCTCCTCTCCCAAAACCACTCTATACATTCTATTAACAGTTGACACTCTGTATAACTTCCTAACCGTTCAAGAGGTATGCTTTGAATCACTCAAGTGTGGTCCTCCTTTCTGATTTCTCAAGAATGCGAATTTCATGGTCCACAATTTCAAAACTATGCTTTATCCTCTATATCTTGGCAATGTGGTTTTCTGAGAAAAAGAATGGACCAACCCCCAACGATATCACATTATCCCGGCAGGTATTTCGGAACACCTTGATGGAAATCCAAATTCGAGACGACTAAGAGTTTTAAGTTTTTTGTGCCACAAAGTTTGAGGCTTTAGAGGACTACAGACATTTTACGTTGCTCGTGTGGCATCTTCAGACATGGCAGCCAAACAAGTAACTTTGTCGTTACCCTCGTGCTTTTCAAAAGAACTTGTGTGTAACATGTGGTCTGTTCCCCACCGTCCGTTGCTCGTGTGGCATCTTCAGACATGGCAACCAAACAAGTAACTTTGCCGTTACCCTCGTGCTTTTCAGAAGAACTCGTGTGTAACAAGTGGTCTGTTCCCCACCGTCTGACAAATAGTGCCCATAAAGAAATTAAATGCAGTAAAGGCTAAGTTCGGTACATCCAAAGTGCCTAAGCCAATCAAGACAGATCTTTATTCGAAAGATACCCTGTTTTACTCATCATGTAGATAGACACGAAGCCACCGAAATATTAGTTGGTTTCATTCTGAATGGATGTAGAAAATTTGTGCTTTTCTGTGTTAGTCATCCTGTGAACGGGAACCTAGTATGTTTCCTTGCCGACCTTCTAAAAAGAGGACAAGGTATTCCCAAAGTGAGAGTGACTTACCCACCGTTTACTTAGCATCTATAGGAATATTTATCGCAACCATCCAAACTTCTGAAATTGTCACTTCTCCCTAAGACCACGAGCACCATACTACTTGCGAGTAGCACTGTTTAGGTTGTCCTTCATTATCAAGGTCTGTCCTTCATGTCCAGGTTACAAAAGTCAAGGTGTCAAAACGGGGAAGTTTTGGTAGGCACTCCAAGTAAGATTGAAGTATTATTTACAAAGAGTCGGCGTTGTGTGACTATGTGCAAACTCAAAACAGATTACGAGTAAGTGCCAAGAATACCATACCGTCCAAAATTGAACACTGTTTCATGGGCCAAAGCATAACCAGAAAACGAACTGATCTTCTTCCGTCAAACTTGCTAAGGTGTCTTCAAGATGAATGCAAATACATTACAAACGTAATTCACTTTACAATTTATCTATTTGGATTCGACACGCTGGCTGAATACACCGACTGACGGAATCCTTAGTGATGATGATGATGCTTGAAGGTCTTACTCATGGCCTTGTTTTTCAATGGAGAGATGACTTTTCACTGACGATCAGAAGGCGAACTTACTCAAAGTCTCCATCACTGTACTTGTTCTCTTATCTTTGTCATCAGTTTCACAGTGTGTTTTCCGGCTTACCCTAATTCGAGTTCAATCGTGTGCCATACTGACCGAATTGAAGCAAAGCATTGCCGAGACGGAACAGACCATGGTGGACTGGATCGGCACATTTACTTTGAAAGAACACCAAGCGTAAGTTTATCCGTACTGGAGCACACATCCACTCCGAGATCTATATGCCAATTAGTGTAGTGAAGGGATTTAATTTCTGTATCATGTTTTGCGTTTCTAATCGCTTAGCTTATGTGACCGGCTTCATAAACCACGATCCAAAATACACAAAGGTCGTTTACTATTAGCAGGTGCGTGAATGTGTCTCACATTTCCCCACAGAGAACCGGTCAAGTGCTTCACTTGAAGTCAAAGATCTCTTGCAAACTGGCCATTTCAGACAACTTTTATTCTCAGAATAACATCACAGCTTGCTCATCCTGTGCTACAGACCCAGGTTTATGTGTGACTTTAAGCTGTGCTAGCTATGTGCGAATCGCCACTTACAATCGAATCGTAAATAGATATCAAACCAATATATCGTGAAAAAAGTTGCGCAATCCGCATTATTGAGCTTATAGGTTGTATTAGTCAACCTTCCGTTTAAGTGTTTGATCTGTTGTTGAATACTGCTCGAGGTTATTCGTGACTGTACCCATATATCTGTCATAGACAGTACACCATAGTATACACCTTTTTCAGTAAACTGTTACCTGAAAGAAGTCTAGGAGCTAGGAAAGACAAAATGTTGGCACTCAGTCCCAATCGGTTTGATGCAGCGCCAGCTAGCCGAGCTCATCCAATACTATCAGTCAAAGGGCCAATAAATATTGAGTTCATGATCACCAAAACTTATGCAGACATCTGTGTCTCAGACCGTATCTGCCATCCAACCGAGAAAGTGCACCTGGGCAGTATGTTCAGGAAGCGCTATGATCCGTCAGAGCATATGTAGGACGTAGTTTGGTGTGTTTCGGTGCCAGTGTCTATGTCTGGCGTGCCACAGCCACAGAATACTGCAACTGTGTGTTAATAACAAAATTCATTTTCGAGAAATACACTCACTTACAAATCAATTTGGCCTTCACGAGAGACACAACTGAATCTCTCGTCTATGATATTCTACAAATGAATGTGTTGCACATAGGCCGCCTCATGATTCAGTTGGCACGATATTCGAGATATCGAAGTATATTCTCATAAAGGAAACTACTCACAGGTTTGCTGAAAACTCTTCGACAGCCCACGACCTATTTTGCCCTTCTTGGGGTTCATCAGGTAGGCCCAGTCCCCGAGTTTCCGTCAAACTTATGATCTACTTGAACCCAAATTGTGCTGTTTTCGATAAATACACTAATTTGCAAATCAATTTGGTTTTCACGGGAGACTCAACTGAATCTCTCGTTTATGGTATTCTACAACTGAGTGTGCTTCGTGAGCTGTCGAAGAGTTTTCAGCCCAAACTGATTGCAATGGGCGAAACTTGTGTACCTCGGATTTCGCCTGGCGAAATTTCTCCCGCAAAACATTTATCATTTTCACACACCCCACCATCGTTAATGACAACACTGTGTGAGCACTAGCGGTCACCTACCGCCTGTAGCTAAATTTAACCCCCTCATTGACAAGTTGCGAGTGTGAGCTACTTGGTGTCGAAGAACCCAAAAGCACCGTACAGTTATTTCACCCTTATTGGCAGTCGTCAACGCTGTATGACTCACAAAACTCTAGGGAGTTTTACGGATTATGCACTGCTGCTAGTTTCCATAAAGGATGAAATAGCCCAACATCGTCTTTTGGTTCTTGAACTTGGACTGGCTTCACTTGCAGAACAAAATATCGATTCGGAATGGGATAGAACAAGAGGCCCCAAGTTAGCCTACTACAGAACCTCAAAATGTTCACACTTCTCACCATCTGTTTTGATAACCTGTAAAGAAACTGACCTTAACATCGCTGTTTGTAAAGGTGGGGATCACATCTTACTATATCTCTGGCTGAACATGGGGGGACAACGGTGCCGACAGTACACAACCAAGTAAAGTAAGAATGCTGTACAGGTAAACGTTAAAGATCAGTTCTGTTTTACCGGAGCCGCTCGTAGGGCGCGCTACTTTTGGTGCCAGCAATAAGCTACCCAGGCGAATCTCCACGTTTTCTTCACACATGATTTAAACCCACAATTTTCAATCGCTCTTTTAGTCTCCTCTATTGCTGATAATATGATCCTCGCTTAGGGGTCAAATAATCTAAACGAGAACGAACGGTTAAGCTTTTGTCACTTCCATTCAAAACGGGCCTTAGACCAGGACTCAGAATCTAACAAAATTCATAACCTACGAGAATAAAAAAATTGCGCACCTGCAGCTTCATAACATAATAAATGATTGTTGAAACTCGGTTTTGCGCACTCGAATATCGTTGGACAAGCTGGCGTGAGTGCTTATCAAAACTTTTCAAAACGATGAATTCTTGGTCGGTTTCAACCATTTTCCCACTGATTGAAATCTGGGACAAAGGTTACACAAAAGCTTTCCTAACCGAATGGGAATAGGTCAAGAGAAAAACAAAATTCAACAAAATTATAACCTCAGTTAAACTTATCAAAAAACGAGTGTACAGGACACTGTTCACGGTCCACTTTCAACCACTAGTTCAGCAGGAACTACCCTACCTCCAGGACTCTTATGTATTTTGTGAGATTCAAGTGCCTCATAATTGAGTCGCATGTCTGAGCACTTGTGAATCCAATAATCCACTAACCTCCCTTCATTTTACTCTTCCAGCGTGGATGCTTTAATTGAGTATATCAGGAAGGCAATCGAGGAGGAACAGACGTTACCGGAACCCCTCATGTTGGACGGCGACCGATTTTATGTTCAAAAGGTTTGTTATCAGTGAAACTTTACAGTCTCCATGTTTTTTCTGCTAAGTCAAACTTTCCAGTTGCTTTTGACATCAACTGCCCCAGCCATACATGAGAAATTTTGTACGCGGGTGAAAAATGGCCTCTGAAGTACTTACACATCGAGAATGAAAGTGTGAATGCTTGGTTTCTTGACTTGTCACGGATCCTGGTGTATCAGCAGTTCGACTCCTTTTCCGATCTTGGGTGCGAGCGTCCCGGATCGTTTTATCTGCCTCATCAGATATAACAATCGTTCCACACGCTGTGTTCCTGTATGCTATTGGGTTTGTGAATTTCGCAATCCTATTTTTTTTTAATACTTATTTATGTCCAGTGTGTACCAACACCGAACTCTTCAGTTGTCCTAGTCTAAGCTATTACGCATTAAGGTCTTAATCGCCGGACTTGGAGAAAATTAGACTTCATGAGCTTCCGTTGCTCACTATTTGTTCCATCATGATATCCTGCAATCCCATGGGCTTTTGCTATGAGATTCACAAATTTAGATCAGTGAAGCTAGAGTGAGTGAGTGGTTGTAACTAACAGTGTTTCTAATATTTCCCGCTCTAGGAGCAAATGCGAGAGGACGCAACGGAGACCATTGAGGCGCAGTCGAAAGAAACCTCGAGGATTAACGATCTAAGCTACTTCAGCTTTGAACAACTTACTGATTTACTCAAGCAGGTCAGTTATGTTTCGACTAAACAGGTGACATCTAATTGATTTTTTACAAAAAGCCAACTTTGGCCTATGGGTGATTGATAAGCAGTTTGAATTACTCGTGCAACAGCATACTAACCTTCAGTAAAAATTTCAAAATTGCCCGGTTTCTTGACTAAATTCCCTCCGTTGCCCAAGCAAAGGTCATATGAAATGTTGGCTACTCCCAGGCCAGTTGTTGTTGAATCGAACTCAGTCTGTTCTGCTTGGCGATGTTTCAATCGGTGACACTGGACTTTCCACACCAATTGCGCTTTGATTCATGGAGTTCGGTTTTTCAGCCGACATATCCACACACAGAGTTAGGCTGAAAATTGAGTGTCTCAATTCCGTGAAATGCATGAGTGTTGTGGTAACAATCCAACAGGGTAGCTAACAGGTTCGTTTCCTAAGCTGGGAAAACTTACAATTCAGGTGCGGATGTACCAAGGCGAGAAGTCTGACACATTAGAAACGTAGGAAAATGGAGAAAACAAAAGGCTTATGCCGTTTAACTGGCCTCATATTCCGTTTTACTCTCTAAAATTAAGCTCAATACGGGACCAGAGGTATAGGACCCAAAACGCCTCTCCGTTGATAGACCGGACATAGTGGGGTATCACAAGTACGATAAATATTCCAAAAAAATAAGTTAACTCAAAACTTACAATTCAGGTGCGGATTTACCAAAGCGAGAAGTCTGACACATTAGAAACGTAGGAAAATGGAGAAAACAAAAGGATTATGCCGTTTAACTGGTCTCATATTCCGTTTTACTCTCTAAAATTAAGCTCAATACGGGACCAGAGGTATAGGACCCAAAACGCCTCTCCGTTGATAGACCGGACATAGTGGGCTATCACAAGTACGATAAATATTCCAAAAAAATAAAGTTAACCAAGCATTGTCGTTCGCATGTACCTTATCCGCTCAAGAAGAGCGCAACTTAGCACGGCTGAACGGTTAATGTGACTGATTCGTATATTTGATCGCCACTTACTAGTACCTATCTCCCTCGTTAGTAACCAGGAGTGCTGGATATTAGAGCAGGGTGATTCAGTGTCTCACGCCTCTCACAGTTGGTTTCTGCTCTACCTGGCAAAGGCCAATATCAAGTCCATACCTTTGATTGAGATCCAACAGGTTAGAATAGCAAAACGAACATACACGTGTGTAAAGTTTTAGGCCCGAAAAAAAAACTGGTGCTTGGTCATGGAGCAGGAATAGGATGTCAATTGAACTATGTCATTTCACATTATCATCAATGACATCAACATCAGATGGAATGACTGGTGCCGCACTGCCGCAAAACCATGTCAGTCTGTTTGAATAAGGTCTTGCGATGGAAAGAAGAAAGAAATGGGACAGAGAACAAGGCTTAGAGGGGTTCCACACATCCGGTACAAGCCTGGTGAAGTGACTCATGAAAGCATTAAGACGGAACGGCCAGAGAATATCATCTAAATCTCCCCAGGCGGGAAGTTATCATGTAGTATAATTCCGTCTTCTTATTTTTGATCATTTGCGCCGACTGAATTTCGGAATCTATTTTAAATGGACTCCATTATGGGTCAACCCATAAGAAAGACTTTATGGTGAAAAATGTGGACCCCATCGTTTTTGGCGGCGTATACACCATTCCCTCAAGTGCAACATAGTTTCTAACAGATATTCTTCAAAAAATTCACACTAGACCAGTTTTTTATCCCTTACAAAGACCTCTACACTCTTGACCCAAATCTAACACCCCATGGTAGTAGTACCAGTGAATAGAAGAAGGCCTTCGCTGTGGAGTTATTTATTAGAAAATGCAATCTGACCGGCTAAAGACTATTGGATAAGGAAGCGAAACTCTCATTTGCATCTTATTTACGAAAACTGAACATCCATCTTCTCTTAAACGCGTCTTCCTGAACTTTCCTCGATATTCATTGACTGTTGCTCAAATCCAAGCAAATACTACAAAGGGACTCCACAAATTCCGCAACAGATCTCCCTTTTCAAGAGACGCAAAGCGAATTTACAAGGAGAAAACATACTTCTTGCATGCCTTCCTCATCAGTAGTATCACCGTGACGCCAGTAGTATAGTGGCATAACGGAAAACATTTTCTTGCGACTTTTGGCCAAACACCTGATTCCAATCAGAACGAATAATTTGCTGTTAAAAATCCTGAAAAATATCAGCATCTGCTACTTTTCACTGCATTTCCATGAATGTTTTCAGTTTCAACACTCAGCACCGAGTGGAATTATCGGCGTGACATCCTTTGCGAGCATCTTAAGTCCCATTATCGAAAAAAGAATGCAGGAGCTTTCTGGACCCACATCCCAAGAAAACATCGAAGAACTGACTAGAAGAATAATTTCGGCCTACCGTTTGACTTTCGGTCCGGAGGATGAGCGAGTTCCATCGGTCAGTGTGCAGACAAAGAAACCTCAGTCTGGCAAACAGCAGACAGTAGAGGGCCATTCACTTAAGACGGACAACGGCTCATCTAAAGTATTTTACATCGACTGGCGTCGCTTCCTGTTAGCTGCTACACATTCCTTCGACATTTTCAACCCGGAAGCGCAACCAAATAAAGAAATGCTACTTCGCCTATGTGAACGCTTGTTTGAATTGGATCAGACGACATCAGCAGACAATCGTGGACCTGGTCTGATTGGGACAAAAGTCACTAGAGCACAGTTTCGATTTGCTCCCTTCCCGTGGTTTCCAGAAAATCACACAGTAGGTTGAGTCAGACCTATTTCTGAATGTTTTCTTAAAAGACATTGCACTTCCATTTTTTACTCAGCTCGAATGAAGCTGAATTTATGTAATTAGGTTTGTTACTTTCACTGGTCAACATCCGTTTACCGGAAGTGATGGGAAGAGGAAAAACTGAGCACTCAATATACCTCTCTTTCCTCTTCGTTGATATGATGTTTACCATTGATCGTCCAGCCAGTAGCACGGCTTCTTTCCTCTTCGTTGATATGATGTTTACCATTGATCGTCCAGCCAGTACGGTAGCACGGCTGAGGGTACCATTCATTTTAAACACTCACCAAATCTTCTAGACGAGGTTTCCAGAAATCTCACACGGCATGAAGAAAGTTGAAAAGTTTTGCTCTGGATTTCGCCTTCTAAGTAAGGTCAACCAAAGCCAAAAAATTGTAAAACACTGTTTTGGAATCATCCGCGGCGTACAACTCACTAATCGCTAGTGGAACCGAAACCCGTGACCTCCTGGTTAGTGGCTAAATGTTACATTTTTCAGCCGTGAGCGGCTCATCAACAGTACCTTTACATCTTACTTGGATGGGGTATGATGCTGCCCATCCTTTAGTCAAATGATGACGATGGAAATTTCACCTGCTGTGTGAATTGTTCTTCCTTCCTACTGGTAGCTGGTTCACAGTATGAAATTTGGAAAGTTCCTGTACGTGAAGTCAATCTATTCCAAAAAGTCAAAAAGCATTAAACGGCTGTTTTACTTCTGTTGTGAATCATCATTAGTGTGTATCTCATTGATATTTAGGCAGATTCGGTTCAATGATCCTTTTCTGATAGGTATCCAGCAGATCAGACTGAGTGTCAAACCCCCTTTCATACCACATATCACACAAACGGTTTGATAACCAAATTCCTCCACGTATCTTCAATGTGGTTTACAGTACCCTAGTGGCCTTAGACAATTGGCCTTACTGATCGTAGCGAAGCGAAAAATGCTCCGGTGGAAGTCGTGCTTAGCGATTGTACAAACACGTACGAAGCGCAGAAAGAAAACACTTGAAAGTAGGAATGGTTAGTGAAGAACAGTACAAGTTGCGTTTGTACCCACAAACGAAATCCTTCCTTCCTTTGGTTTATTGGATTTCTAACCTCTGTTTGAATAATCTGCCTGAGATTGATATTCCTAAGGTTGAAGGCCTGTAAATGACTGCTGTCTCCGTTTCAACTTCTGAACTTTTAGACTGATTGGTCTTTTGGCAGTAGATTATTGGGCATATTCCCATCTGATGTGAACGTGCGGAAATAAGTTTTATTGTACATTTTGTATTGCGTATTTTATATACTGAAATCCAGGAAGCTGGATAACTAGCAATGTTGTGGAATGTAGGTAGCTCGGGTGCGCTGTTCGGTTGTTGGTCTGTTCGCCGAGCTTGGCAGTTGGGTCGCAAACGTTTCATCACTAGCCGACGATGTCACCTGGATTGATGATGAAACGTTTGCAATCCAACTGCCAAGCTCGACGAACAGACCAACAACCAAGCTGGATAACTATCGGTTTATGGGGACTAAGTAACTTCCACAACGTGATGGTCCCAATGACATGAATCCAGAATTTTCGATTCAGTGTTACCAACCCTGTTGCTTAGCAGATTGTTTAGCTGTCTCTTACCTTACCTGTCCACCTCAGTAAATATACCAAGCTACCTTCTTCTGAGAAGGTAGCATTCGGTTATCTGCTCTGAATGGCTCTTAGTTTTCAAAGCGAGCCTCGAAGGACCAAGGCGAAACCAATGGTCTTTACTCTGATGACGGTTTTCCTCGGGGATGTATAGGGATTGAAACAAAACCGTGTTTCAGGTGTTTGTGGTTACTGGATCCTATAGAACGCACATTTGCATGACTTTCTTTTGAGCAGTCGTCCGATTATCCAGGTGGAATTATTCTAGTAAGGCCACACCAGAAAAGGAAGCACTGAACTCAAGTTTTTCTCACGTAAGAACTCATCAGCAGTGCATATCCTTCACCATACCGGGGTTTGAACCCCGCAAATCTGAAATGCGAGGCGAGCGTGTTACTACTACTCCACCAGTGCACACTGGACGCAACTGGGTTTCGCGCCTGCGCAGGTGAACATGTTCACGCTCGAGTGATGTGAGCGGAAAGTCCGTCACCTCGAACGGTGACCCAGTGACATAGCTTGGTTGTGTCAGGGGTTCCCAGTCAGTTATCGCCACAGATGCCTGAAACGTGCTGGACACTTTTGTTTTAGTTGTTGGTGGTTGAGGGCTTTGTTAAATGCATTATCACCTGACTCTCGTTTGTATTGTGCCGACAGTAAAGGACGATCAGGGAAGTTGTAAATGATTTTCGCATGGCTAGTCATATAAAATAGTTTATCAGTTCCAATTTCGAACCGAAATTCCACACTTTTCATGGAATATTTTATAGAATTATCAATGAATTTTCTCTGTGCATTTGTAAAATGAAATTAAAGCCCAAGTTTGTTCCCACCTTCAGTACTATGAACAGTTGCACGATTTCATCTTCTCCATCTTCGCTGATCCTCATAAAATCGAACTTCAAAATGATTTGGAGAAGTGGGGTGTTGACGTGGGGCCAAAGAAATCGGAGGATATAGCACACGTTACCAGTAAGCCCATGGAAGAAAGTGAAACTGGGGACAGTGAAAAGGATAGCTCGGGTCAAGATTTGACACACGCAGATCTTTCACTGGCGCAGAAGGTCGACTGCTGTCCCCTGATGCTTTCACTCGCACTGCTGAGCTCTGATACACCTCTTACAGGAATTTGGAGATGCCTTTCTGTACTCAGCATGCAGGAGGTGCTGGAATATCCCAATTTGAAAACCTGTTTTGAGTAAGTTTATTGCGTCCACGGAATTTGTTAACATCTGAGTAGTAGTCCCACTAGTGGTAAAAGTATTAGCATTCTTATCATGAATTCCCATCGAAACTAATTTGAAAGATCATAGCAAAAGCCTGTTGATGTCCCTTTCGAGATTCTTTGTCACTACTTTGTCAGCAAGTATGGCAGCATTTTCACCACCGAAGCCATTGTTGTTAGACCAATTCCTCCTGCGTCTCTGTATAATTAGCTCACTTCAAAACAATAGAGCTTTTGCAAATGGCAAAACTGCAAAAACGGCTCTACTACTCAAATCAACGGAACGAGAAGCACATGAAATTGGTCGCGCATCTTCGTGTAGTCTTGTGTTCAGGTGCGTGATGATTCCATAAAAATTTTACAACTTTTTATCTAGAAGAATTCACGTGGTAATTGCAACCCAAACTGTCGTACAAAGTGAAAATAAGGTTGGTACGCGTGAGCTTCAATTGTCCGCAGGTCTGCGACGATATGAAAGATTTTGTCGTAGTCATAAGCTCAGGGCCTGTGGATCGTATAAAATTTTCTGAGCGTCATGGACGATTTATTTGACAACAGCTAGAAAAAACAATGAGACTGGTAGTTGGCTTGTTCGTTGAACTGGGCAATTTGGTTGCAAACGTTTCATCACCAATCGAGGTGACATCATCAGTGCGTTATTGGGTAGTGTAGTTGTGCGTAGCGGTTGGTTAGTGTTTGTGCGTTGAGTAGTGCTACGTGTGTGTTAATATACGTGCTGGTAATCGGGGATGACCTTTCACCGCGATTAGTTGTTCGGTCGGGCGGTTCCATTGGTTGCTCTGCTATCCTGTGTCCTCATTCACCGATGCCCATGTGACCACTAACCAACCGCTACGCATAACTACGCTCCCCAATAACGCACTGATGATGTCACCTCGATTGGTGATGAAACGTTTGTAATCAAATTTCCCAGCTCAGCAAACAAACCAAGGACCATCTACGCTACCTGAGCTACCGAAATTTTCCTCTATAGAATAGTGAGTCTGTCTACGAGTAATTAATTCGTTTGACTCGATTGCTAACCAGGTTGTACGTTCAATAATACAACCTGGTGACTGTGACTGTCAGCTCGCCGTACCGAGTAACGTGCATAAAATCCATACCACAAGCGGCGCAAATTTGCAAATGAAGTTCGTTCGGTGACACCATCTGTCACACTGTCGTTAGAACTAATGCAACTTCTAAGATATCAGCCGCCTTCCACAGTCTTCAGTGTCTCTGCCTAAATTCTTGTACGTCCCGTAGCACTTTGGGCCTGTGAACAGCATGACGACAAACTGGACGAACTTGATCATCTTCCAGAATGAACGGACCGGAGAGTGGATGCTCTTCGGATAGCACACTCACTCTGTTTGACGATATGACTCATGGAGGTGGTCAGTGGTGCGGATGACTATCAGAGCATAGTATCTTTCGAACTTTTCCAACCTTTAAGCATGCCTACCTTTCTTCAAACACTACTATGAGCTGTTGTTTAGTGACTCTTTCTAACGGAATTGAGTCAGCTATGCTAACAAGTTTTGCTCAGCTAGACCACATATATGATACACCAGGCAAACTGAATTTCTTCGTCTCTAGGCTCAACTTTTTGCCTGTACTGGAGTCACAAAATACCTCTAAGAGAAGACAAACCCAGAGGCTACAGTATGGGACATCTCCAAGATGTCGTTCATCTAAAAAAGTATTTTTAAGATGTATTCTTCGCCCTTTGCTCAAAATTACTTAGACGTATCTTCAAATTGCCCCAAAGGTAATTCGACCAACGCTTTCCCTTTCTTTACTTAAGCGAGTTAACAACCAGTCGCCTTGTGCCCTCAGTACATCAGTCCGTTTCCCATCTGCTTGATATTTGGTTCGTAAATAAGCCAATTGAGCGAAGTAATAGAGATTTGAGTCGCTGAAACATATCATTTGAATAGCAGGTCTCCTTGCTCAGTTGCGGTGACAACTGGTATCATCAAGAGTTGTAATATCTGCACATAAACACGTCTTATTACTGTGCAATACTTCTTATTTGCTCTAATTCACTCTGTTTTACTTCTAAACTGCTATGAATTCGGCTGGAAAAGACCTACTGCTAAAACAGTAGTGCTAAGCATCAGCGCACTCACCAGACTCATTCAATAACACGCAACAGAATAGTGGAATGGTTTGAGTTCGGGAAGCCTCAGATTACATGTTCTTTATCGGAGACTGGATTTTTCATCGCCCCAAAGTTTGTGACCGACAGAGTATCACTGGCCATCAAAAGAAGCCCCACATTGAAGGAGTGGACACAGAACAGCATCATCGGGATGAGAGGCGTCCTAGCCTTGGAACGTCGGTTAAGGAACCTCTTCTCAGACTTTTGAATGAGTCAACTTGGAGTAGCAAACGGTAGGGAGATGTTCTGTAGCTCGTGCTACTCGCAATTAAGAAAGATATCAATAAGTGTAAACAATGTGAGGCCGTTTTGTGACACCCAGTACAGTTACTGGGTCGTCATTCAATGAGTCGGACACACCAATCATATCGCTCAAGTGTGAACAGGCTCGCCTGTGCAGATGTGGAAATTCAGATGCATCCAACATGCACTGGTGGAATAGTGGAAACTTGCTTGCATCGCGTGCCAGATGTGTGGAGTTCGGACCCCGGCATGGCCAAGGGTATGCACTATTGATGAGCTCTAATAAGAGCACAATTCGAGTCTAATGCTTGCCCTCTGGTGCTGCCGGTGCTACTCGCCTTCCAGGAGAGGGACCGCGTGATCCTCACTGTGCTTGGTTGGAGACACTACAAGGTATGGCTACTAACTGATGTCAGTGGTGTTCTTGTTGTCAGTTTCTATCCAGATCTCCTGAGTGAATATCTGGAAATATAGGCACCTCGGAATGATTGTGGTAAGCTAGCACCAAGTACCCCCGAACACCTTTACCCTTTTCTTTACAACAAAGCTTTCAAATAAATCATGGTTGTACGGCAGTGAGGCATCGGTGTTGAACATTGATGCCATGCTGTCGATGATGATGATGGTGATGATGATGATGATGAACAGTTACGCCAGGGCAGTAGGACAACCATTCAAACGAAAGTGACGTGACTATGAACAATAATACATCTTTGCTCTCATTGCGCTGGAGAACGTATTATTGTTGTCAAATCGGCTTGATACCTTCAGCCTAAATTAAAACGAAAACCTCAATTTGTACACTTCCAAGGGTTTATTGTGCTTTAAAGCCCATTGTTTTGCAGTAAACCCAATGGTCTACCTCAGGGGGTCAGAATTTGTCCTATATGAACTGTACCAACTGTATCAAATGAAATTCCATCTGATTATTAAAGGAAACCCTTAGATAAGGAGCTATCAGAAAGTTCCTAGTGTCCATTTTGATGTGTCCCAGTGTTGTGTTACGATTAAAACTACAGCTTTAGGTCCTGAGCTCCTCTATTATGGGTGTTTCAGGGTTTGTTTAATTAATTTCATTTACGAACCACGACTCTTCTAGCCCTCTTAAAAGGAGGGTGTAGTCATGCATAAACTGTGCGAAACTAACCGGAAAAATAAAAGTGACTTGCATTGCGTGACAAACCAATTCAAAAACCCCACCTAATTACCCGTATATACCATGGAAATTCTTATCAGTAAGAAGAAACACAAAAGGGTAAAACTATGTGGAACTGAATGCCCAAGTGATATACTATCAAGGCCATTTTCTCTGAGGACTGCTGGAAGCTGTTTGGCCTGACAACATAGAACATGGATGAAAGCCGAAAAATTCAGGTTGCGAAACTTATTTTGATGTCAACGTTTCACTTGGTGATTATTTTAAATGAAGTTTCCTTCTTGTTCCAGAGGCCCTGCAGATCTGGAGGCTCGTGATCCACTGATTTATCAAGCCGTATTAGAAAAGGTAATCCCATGTGCCCCTAAATGGGATAACTCATCGTCCATTCATGTAGCACGTAACAGGTGAACAGATTTTCACACATTTATTTGTAGGTGGATGTACGTTTTTAGGGTGTTTATTTACAAAACTGCCGTTTGAACATGTAGTACTGAAACTATAAGCTGCAGGAGTGATATTTTGCCATGTTGCTGTGAAAGTCTTCTAGCTTTCGTTGGACCAAGCCCCTATATAGCCTTTTCAGTATCGCTATGAACTGGAGTCTTATGGTATTCCAGTACGGTGCAAGGTGAGCCAACGTGACAATCAGAATCGTTAACACAAAGAAACAGATAAAACACCGAATGACTAATTTTTAGTTTGTATAGTTAAATCAGTCACATTTTCCCTAGCTTGATCATGTACACAATGACTGTCGTATAACAGAAAACACACTTGCCTGCACTCATGTCATCTCTCTAGTGCGACCGAATTCGACTGTGTTTTGAAAGCTTCATTGAACAGACTGGTACATCATGCATAGATGACCACAGGAAGCTGGCAAAATCTAAAAGCTGCGGTCGGACTTGTGTACTACCTCGTGTAACCTAGGAACTACTCCCAAATTCTCAGCTGTTACCCGATCAGGACACTGGTTAAGGTTTTGTTGGAAAGGATTCCCTTACAAGATTGGTGCCAGGATGACGGTTTCTCAAAACGGTCATCATAATGTGGATATTTCGCCATTTAAATGAAGGTCCGACTTCCAATATCATCGACGTAAAACCCAAAGGATCGCTAGCTGCAGCTGATACGCACGTACAGAAGTGGGGAAAGTCAATTTATTGACTGTGAAAAATTAGTCCTGCCTGAGGATGAGTGCAAGATCGCATGGTCACAGGAACCGATTATCAATCACTCTGTTCATAACTAATTCGCTCCAAAACACAGCGTGAGCATTATTGGTTTGAGAACACTGATCACTCTCTTGAACGACAAAAAAACTAACAAGAGTGAACCACCTAGAAGGTGTGGAACACGGGTAGATGCAGTTGATCCACGTATGATGTGGGGTATTCACACTTCAGTGATAGACGCTTTGCTGTCGAGACTGGTCAGACTGTCTAGTGTCAGCAGAGTTACGAAGTTTTCTGTAGCTTACCAAGTAAACTCAGCAAACTTTAGTGATGTCAGGACACATTTCGCGCACCTGTCATCTTGTTGCTGCGTTCGTAAAACAGGTGGCTTTATCCATATCAACTTGAAGACTTCTTGTACGCACGCATTTTCCTAGAATATACACTGGACACTTTGCTTCATCTCCAGCAATACGAATCCCCAGGATATCAATGTCTGTGGAAGTATTGAATGTTTGGAAGTCTCGTTCATCACAGTTTTGCAGATGCTTTCACCCTGAATGACAGATGCCAACTGGTTGGTACAAGAAGACATGGTTAAACTAGAAGATCCTTCCTAATGCGATGTTGGGTAAATTCGACTGAGCACAAAAACGGCACATTTTGGTCAGCCAGATTGGCCAAACGATTTCGTAAAATCGTCTTCGAAAAAGTTTGGTGACAATCGGTAGATTTATCGCTGGGCAACGTTTCGCTTTTGATACAAAAGCTTCGCCTGGTCAAGTGACTAGGTTCCGAGGTTGGTCGAGATTTAAGGCGGGAGGAGAACTAATCAGCTAAGTCAAGCTGAATCTCTGTTGGGTGTCGGCCGAGGGATTTTAGTGTGTTAGAGTGCTGGAACAAACGTTTGGTCGATGGGAAAACCTACGTGTTTGGGACTAGTTCTTCTGGTTCGGTGCACTTGATGATCTCTCGTGAACGTCGGGCGAGGTAGTGCTAAGAAAGTTGTGTAGGAGGGATGCTGTGACCTTTGGTCGGTTCGGGTTTCCACCCCTACCCCCCGGTTTTTTCTAATGATCCTGCGTGGATTGACAACCACACAGTCACGTGTCAACTCGGCTTATCTAAGACCGCTTTCCATACGCTCGCTTGCTCCACACCCTCGATTCTATTCACGCTGTGATGCTTAGTAATTTCCACCGCCTCGGCTATCAGCCGCTGTGGTGTGAATTGCAGTCCCCGTCTTAAAACTTCCAAATTCTCCAGGTCTATTCTATGTCCCATGTCTAAGTCATGTACCGCCATCACTGAGTCTTTGACCAGCGTTTGGTATTCTTCTGCATTTCTTGGTGGTTTGTTCATCCTTCTTTTATGCTAACCAATTCTGGTGTGCAATTCCCTGGCAGTTTGTCCCATGTAAGCCCTAGCGCAACCATTGCAGTGAATTTTATACACGCAGTCCCTAATCCTTTCAACTGGCAAGGATCTTTCAATTGCACCAAAACTGAGCGTAACGTTGTTCCCTTCGGAAAAGCCACTCGAATGTTGTCTAAGTTCAGCAGTCTTCGAATAACCCCCGATGTTCCTGCTCTATATGGAATGACTGCAGTGCTAATCCATTCGATACTGAGTCTAGATGTTCATATGACTGCTAACATGAATGAAATTAGCGCATATACACTCATTTGCAAACTAATTTGGTTCTTTCGAGAGACTTACCTGGAACCCAGCTGAGTCTCTCGTTCGTGGTGTTCTCAGGCAACTGAATGTGCTGCCTCATGTTTCAGTCGCTTACGATATTCGAGATGTCGCGAGACTTGTATATATTACAAAGATGAATGACATTATTTTCAATTCGACTACTATTCGGGAGCGAAATGTGAAAATTGCTTTTCATTTCTGAATAGCTCCTCTGTTTTGGCCTGATCTGCGTGGAGCCCATGGCAGTCGCAGACCTACAGGAATTGAACCAAGTTGCTGACACTGTGTTGTCATACATCAGACGAATAAAGGTGAGTTTGATTCTCTTCACCTCCCCTTAGTTCCAACCCAATTGGTTCAAAACTGAGATATATCTATTTTGGCTATAGGGGACAAGTTATAGAAGTTCTGGTGGCACTTCTTCATACGTTTTTTTCGTTTTAACTGTTGGATGCCCATAAGTGAATCCATGATCAGCTCAGCCGATGCTAGAAAGCCTCTATATTCGTACGAACAGGGCTCGATCCTGGATAAAGATTGATCGTAAGGGTATTAGACTTATCGCGTGAGGCGGTCTCCAAATCGCCTATCTGTTGACTACCATTAGGGCATATCTCGCAGGTATCACAGGGTATGTCCCACTAGGTTGATCGGAGGAGAGGAATTCGATAACCAGTACCTTGAGCCCCAAAGGTCGCAGGCGAGGAGAAGTGTAGTGGTCTGCAATTTGAAAGTTGTCTATTTTGACGTTCTTAGGCCAGTTGTGACCACCTTGTTTTCTGGATTCTCAGTCTAGAAATGTTAACTGGTATTTTCAATCATCTTTAACTTGGGTCTCCTTATAAGAACTCGGCACTTTTACAAGCCCAGTACGTGTAGTAGTATCGGCCTCATTCTCTGAGCGCAGCAAAACGACTCGGCGGACAACAAGATTAAGCTTATATTGTCCGTCGCTACCAGCCATCAAAAACTGCATACCCTTTAACTTGCTCAATCCCACCTTCTGTAAAACACAGCTATCGACAAACCAACTGTTTAGTTGCGAACTGCACGCCACCAATGATGTCTACTACTTAGTATCTTTCTTCAGATAATAATTACTTGCTTTTATTGTAGTTCTATTGCGTACACTGACCTATTCTTGTGCACACTCATTAAATTATTGTTCAGGCGGGTATGCTGCAGTATTCAAGGCCACAAACCGAGATCTCTTCACTCTCACTGTCTATATTCGACTGATTAGGAACCCGGGATGACTCAGTCTTTGGTTGCATCAGTAACTGGCTCATAATTTCAAAACCGCGACTTCCTTGCTTGAACTGTCAACCTAATTGTTTTTGCCTTTGCTATTTTCGTGTTTTCTCCAATAAGCAGTACAATTGGTAAAAATAGCGACCCTTTGAAGTTCGGCCTATGAACAAGACGGGTGCAACTGAGTGGGCCAAAAAGCCGGCAAAATGTTTATGCAGTGACTAAAGATTTCTTTGTACAACCGGACTCCGATGTGATGAGTACGGGTGCATTTCATGTCATCCTTCTTTTTTATTAGACAAGAGAGCCACTTAAAATTATCGTTCAGTGATATTTCAGTACGTGAGACACGCGTCTGAGAGTATCATACAACAATGCCGCCAGCTAATGCGTGCACTGATCGCACTATGTCAGTTGCCACAGCAGAGCCATACACTACGCAGACTAACGGGCACGTTTTTCTCAAATTTCTAAGGGTCTTTGACTGTTCGGATACAGTTTCCCTTCTGCATTTCCAGTATAATTAACTCTGTGGAAGAATTATTTCACAAGATGAATAGGACTTCCTTTTTTGAAGCCTTCATTCAAGGAGCCACTCAGCGCGTGACCATGTGACGTGATTTCTGTGATTGAAGGAGGAGAAGCGCCCTGTTCTGTCAATGTGGGAGCTAATGATGGTCAAGCGGTTAAGTGTTTTATCACCGAAAGGTTGGGGTTTTGAAATTCTCTGGGTTTAGTGAGATGCGCACTGCTGAAACAACTGTAAGGTGCTTCCTGGCGTTTCAGCATAGATCGGCCTTACTGACAGGATAGAATCTCTGTTGAAAATTACCAAATCTCACTACACCATCACTATAATCAAAAAGGACTAAGTCCATACTTTCTGAGCGTACTTTGTGCTCTCTCGCTTAATGCTTCTCCCCATAAAACGACCTGTCTAAACTAAACGAAATGCACTCATCTGCAAACCAACTTAGTTTTGCGAGAGACTCACCAGCTGAATCTGCCATTTATTATGTTTTCAAGTAACTGAATATTCTGCACCAGGTCGCTTCAGATTCCAGTTGGCACGATATTCAAGATATTGCAATACATGTCCCTTTGAATTTCGGCCTATGAACAAGACGGGTGCAACTGAGTGGGCCAAAAAGCCGGCAAAATGTTTATGCAGTGACTAAAGATTTCTTTGTACAACCGGACTCCGATGTGATGAGTACGGGTGCATTTCATGTCATCCTTCTTTTTTATTAGACAAGAGAGCCACTTAAAATTATCGTTCAGTGATATTTCAGTACGTGAGACACGCGTCTGAGAGTATCATACAACAATGCCGCCAGCTAATGCGTGCACTGATCGCACTATGTCAGTTGCCACAGCAGAGCCATACACTACGCAGACTAACGGGCACGTTTTTCTCAAATTTCTAAGGGTCTTTGACTGTTCGGATACAGTTTCCCTTCTGCATTTCCAGTATAATTAACTCTGTGGAAGAATTATTTCACAAGATGAATAGGACTTCCTTTTTTGAAGCCTTCATTCAAGGAGCCACTCAGCGCGTGACCATGTGACGTGATTTCTGTGATTGAAGGAGGAGAAGCGCCCTGTTCTGTCAATGTGGGAGCTAATGATGGTCAAGCGGTTAAGTGTTTTATCACCGAAAGGTTGGGGTTTTGAAATTCTCTGGGTTTAGTGAGATGCGCACTGCTGAAACAACTGTAAGGTGCTTCCTGGCGTTTCAGCATAGATCGGCCTTACTGACAGGATAGAATCTCTGTTGAAAATTACCAAATCTCACTACACCATCACTATAATCAAAAAGGACTAAGTCCATACTTTCTGAGCGTACTTTGTGCTCTCTCGCTTAATGCTTCTCCCCATAAAACGACCTGTCTAAACTAAACGAAATGCACTCATCTGCAAACCAACTTAGTTTTGCGAGAGACTCACCAGCTGAATCTGCCATTTATTATGTTTTCAAGTAACTGAATATTCTGCACCAGGTCGCTTCAGATTCCAGTTGGCACGATATTCAAGATATTGCAATGTATGTATAAACGTAATGTACTACTCATAAGGTTGCTAAAAACCCTTCGACGGCCCGCGACAGGCTTCGCTCTTCTTGAGGCCTATCAGTTAGACCCAGTCTCCGAGTTTCCGTCAACCTTATGTTCTACTTGGACCCAAGTTGCACGAAACAAGCGAACTACACCCACTCATTTGAAACAGCTGAATATCTCGTTTATAATGTTCTTATGGGTAGTGCATTACGTCCATGAAATGCAGTAACTTTGCACTCCACAATGAGTGAGATTCTCCGGGTTGGCATTCGTTCATTCGTTGGCTTTGCACTTATGCAGTTGGTGTAAGTAAGAAATGTTTCCCACTGTGATCTCTGTAGGGATCTTTAATACTGGCATATTTGTCATAGACTAATTATGGCCCATGAAACATGGTTCTTGTGTGCGTTTGGGCTCTGTTAGCCGCAGCGATATTTGACGGCTAGAGAACTGAATATAAACGGGAGAAGGGCGTCGAGCCTTTTTCGTTCCTTGACCCGGCACACAAGATTGTGGGTGATCTTCAAGCTTAAACCGTTCAGTAATAACACTGGAAGAACTTAGGACTGTCCCCATTGAAACGGATCGAAAGACAGAATTTAGGGTAGCTTGGCTCCACATCTGTCTGCCTTGTCCAGAAGTTCACAATTCCGCCTCTGAGCGTAGCTTGCCTGGTTTTGTAACATTTATGTGCCAGGCTGCAATTTTTCTCCTCCTTCCCTCTTTGCTCTCTAGCAATTCAGACTCTCAGTTAAAGTGAACTGCCACCGGACGTCTACTGAACTAAACCAACAGCATGGCATCAGTGTTCAATAGTGATACGGCGCTTTTTTACAACCATGATTTATTTGAAAGCTTTATTGTAAAAAAATAGAATGAAAGTGGATATGGAAGGGATTTCATGCTAGTCTACCACAATTATTCCAAGATGCCTGCATCTCCAGATACTCACTGAAACCCGCAATAGGAACGCAACTGACGTCGAATAGCAGGCACACCTTGGAGCATCTCCGATCATGCACAGGGGGAAAACAGACTGTCCGTTACATTGTACACCATGAAGCGGAAGAGAAAGCAGTCAGGCGTGTTCGAGTGCTGTGTTTTGAACACACCCATATTTATACGGTATACTGTACACATTACGAGAATCTGACAGCTCACCCTCAAACTGTCCTGTGTTTGATTAACGTTGACCCAAAATTTGTCAGTATAATTAAATTTTCGAAAGTAATGTCCACATGTGGATGGCTTCCCTCTGTTTTTACATGTTCTACGTATGCAACCTCACTTCTGTGTCCACAGGATACACTCAGGAAGATATTCACTGAAGTGCAGTCCTTGAGTGTGACGTCCTCCTCAGACAACGCCGTACCACTTTCAGTCCTACTTCAGCAGCCAGAAACAATAAGGCTGTTGAAGGAGGCTGAAACACGATTTACGCTACCCAGGATGCCCGAACCATGGCCAACTCTACTTCGAATGTATGCGAGACCGGATTCCAACAGTACTTCAACCGTGTATGATTCAAGTGATGAAAATCAGTCTCGTCCGATCAATGCTTCAAGCCCTCTGCAGGACCAATAGTATCCGAACAGAACTCGATAGTGTTTCTTCACTAAAAAAACATGCCGTAATTTTTATCAGATTCACCGTTTTTTATGTTGCTTTCCATGCGAAAAATGATATTTTTAGTCCTACTTCATAGTTAAAAACACTCAGTAAGGCAAATCATATTTTCACTGCATTAAAAAAATGTTGGCTGATACGCACCGGCAACACAGTGTCGATTTCAAGGGCTTGTCAAGAAAGCACTCCCTGGATTTTAGTCAGCTTCTTTTCTGACGTGAAAGCATGTATTTATCCTTCATAGTTCGTGGAGTAATTTCGACCAAGACTCGACGATAATCATCATTGGTTTCAACATGTTTTGAACTCGGCCATTTTGTTTTTATTAGTTGATCATGTGACTGTTGATCTGTTCACCGAGCTTGGCCATTTTATGTAGATACAATGGTCCTTGCGAATGAAAGTCGTTTACAAGGGACATCCAGTGGTCATTTCTCACCCCATGAGTAAACCTTAAATTTTGCACCTTAAATTTTGATAACCATAGAATGACATGTCGAAACTAGTGCAGCAATATTGCGCCCCTTCTCTACAAAACCTGCAGTATATAGTAAACAGTTCATTATGAAAACTATCCTTATTTTCCGCGAAAACCATCACCACAACAGCATTTGGAAAAACCTTGTTTGGAAGCTATCACTCTGCAATTTTCAACTAGAATCACACCAGAGAGCCCAGTTTGGGTCCTAATTTTTGCGCGCTTTTATTGTGCATATTTGACTCCTGTGAACGTTTAATCTACAAGCAGGCAACTCCGGTATCGAAGTTTCCTAAAGCTGATTAGGTCAATGCTTTCGTGTAAAATTTTTTAGGTGATCAAGATAGTTCAGTGTTTTAGGTGCGAACTTGCTGAATTGAAGCCCCGTGACTCGAACTCATCCTCTGCATCTCGACTGCTCCTCTCTAGGCTTGGACAACCTGACAATAGCTCAGCCCTCATTCTTCCTTCGGTAGAGGGCACGGCAGCGATGTGCCAAAAGGGAGTTACAGCTGGATCATTAGTATAACTATCATTATTCATTTTATTGTTATTATCAAATGTTTATTAGGCGATGGCACTGACACCATCGGCCAATATGTTTGTTTAAAGTCCTGCGTCTTAGACCATTTTGCTTGACCCTGGAGTGTAGTCCAACATGAACTTTCCGAGCAGAACAAGCAGTTTATGAATACCTTGAAGTGCCACTTGGGTGAAGACTACAAACCGAACCTCAAATAGCTCGTTCACCACTCTACGCGGCTCACTCAGCTGTCTGTGTGGCAGTATTGACCAGATGGCTGCAGCCTACGTTGCGCGGTGTGGAGTATATTCCACTCTGAGGCAGCCTCCTGTAGTCCAAAATAATTTCGACTTAAACTACTCACTGTTCGTTTTACTTGGACCGGTTAGTAAAGTGAAAAAAGAACACTGCTTGCTTCACAAACCAGGATTCGAAAGTGGTTTAGGTGAAGTTAAACGATAAAATAAATTATTTACGTTATGGACTGGATAATACTGAGAGGCCTGTACTCCAACATTTCGATTGTCCCCGCCAGGCCAAGGCAACCTAAAAAGCATTTCAGCGCTCATGATTTCATCGGGTGCTTGGCAAATTCGCACCGAAAGGGTGTTACGGTGGGCCTTTT